CGGGCAGCCACAAGACCTTGGCTGAGCTGTGTCTGGAAGCAGGGGTGGGGTGGGGGCCCGGGGGTGACGCCCAGAAGCCTTTGATGGAGGCCGGTGTCCTCAGGGGAGCCTGGTGGTGGGCTGGGCCACGTTCCCACTGACCCCTGTTGGTCCAGGAGTGCCAGTGGCAGCTGAGGGGCTGCAGTGGCCCGGAGGCGGCATGGGTGTCACCATGCATCTATTCCCACCCCTGCTCCTCTTGCCCGGGGACCCTGGGGTGCAGCTTCAGTGTCTGAGCACGGCTGGAGCGGACCCTGAAGGGTTTGGGGGCACCCAGCACAGTGCTCTGTCCGAGACAGAGACGCAGGAAGTCCTGCTTTCCCGGGGGGCCACCTTGGAGAGGCTCAGAAAGGCATGGGGTAGGGCCCGGGGCAGAAGGGCCACCCCTCAACCGACCTGGAGCCAGGGCTGTGAGGGGGCTCAGTGAGACCTCTGCGGGGACGCGTTCAGGGCTGGGAGTGGGGCGGGGGTGTAAGAAGAGTGGTGTCGCTGGCTGCAGGACAGCTGCTGGCTGGGTTTGGGGTAAGGAGAGAGGAGGGCACGTGCGGAGTCCCCGAAGGCCTCTGCCCCATGGCGCCTGGTGGCAGTGGGACAGGGCTGCCCTGGGCCAGTGCACAGGCTGCTTTCCAGCTCTGATGCCCCTCCTGCCCCTCCAAGAGCCCCACTGGCCCCGGGCTTGGAGCGGAGCTCTGGGACCTGGGGCCGCAAGGCGAACGGGAAAAGCTGCGGCTGCTTGTTCGAAAGCTGAGAGTGTTCACGATGGTGTGCAACGGAGCACAAGCCAAGCACCTGTCCCTCTGGGGACATGGCCTGCTTGGCCGCACAGGGCCCAGCCTCCCATGGCTGTCGTAGTGGGTGCGCTGTGTGGAGAAGGAGCAGGCAGGGGTCGCTGTTGCGGCTCCGTGGGTTCAGCCAGTGCCTGTGACACCGGCATCCCATATTGGAGCACAGATTCGAATCCTTAGCTGCTCCCTTCACGTCCAGCCAGCACCTGGGAAGGCGGGGGAAGATGGCTCAAGTACTTGGGCCCCTGCCACCCACATGGGAGATCTGGGTTCCTGGCTCCTGGCTTCATCTTGGCCCAGATCTGGCTGTTGTGCCATTTGGGGGAGTGAACCAGCAAATGGAAGATTCTCTCTCTCTCTCTCTCTCTCTGTAACTCTGCCATTCAAATAAGTAAAATAAATCTTAAAAAAAAAAAAAGAAAGAAAGAAAGAAAGAAAAGAGTCCGGAGAGATCACGTAGGAGTTGTAGGGTGCCGCCTAGCCCCTCTTGGGCTCTGTGTGATACCGTGGCAGCCTAAATCATAATAACAATAATACAAATAAAAAGCAAGAGGCGGAGCTGGGGTTCCTTCCTTCTCAGGGCCGGTCCCTCCCTCTCCCCATGGCCCCACCCTTGCACTCCCGGGAGGATCTCCGACCAGGAAAAGCCGTCCATGGATGGGAAACTGAAAGGTGGCAGACTGCAAGAGAGGAGACAGGACAGACTTGGTGCCCTGGGAAGTGCTTAGGGAATGGTGGGAACTGTGGTAGCGTGGAAGCTTTGAGCCACACTTAAGGCCACTGAAATTCAAAAGAAAGCAAATTTAAATGGAGGCTTCTGCAAGCTCACTTGGCAGTGAGAATCATTTTCCTTGGAAACACGCAGCTGAAGGTGTGCGTCAGGCTGACGCCATGGGGGAGTTAGAAGGCCCTGAGCTCCGGCCAGCTGAGCTATGAACTTGGCTTTGAGCTCCTCGGTGGTGAAGGCATCAGAGCCGCATCAGGGCGGCCCGGCCCATCACCTGCTCCTCACTGTCGGTGAGGGAGAAGCACGCAGTCTCAGGGATGCCTGGGGGATGCCTGGGCACAGTCTCAGGGATGCCCCCGGGGGAGGCAGCGAGCAGGTGCAGGTGTTTTAAAACAGACCCATCAGCCCCGTGAGCTTCTCTGAATTTGCCCTCTGTCATGGCACGCGGGCGGTGGCTTTTCCCGCCATGCCACAGCGCCGGCCCCCAAAATGCAGGTCTTGATCTGACTCAGAGACGCTGTCACACTCAGACACCACCTGGTGGGAATCTGTACAAACGCGGTCAGTCCTGGGCCGCGGCTGCCTGGGCCTTCTGCCCACGGCAAGAAGCTGATGGACGGAAGAAAACGCGTGAAGATCTTTGCACTCAGTGGAAGCGTTTCCAAGTGCTTTCTGAGACACCCTGTTCCGCACCAATAATTGATAGACTAACCTCAAATTGCTCTTATTTGTTCGTTAACGTGAGTCCCCCAAGGGCTCGCCGCGCAACACTATTAGCCTGCATTGAGTAATAGATTTGAAAGTAATAAAACGACATTATTTTTAAATTATTTTTTAATGTGGACTTTCCAGCCATTGACTGTCCTCTCTGATAGATCTGAATTAGTGAGCTTTAATTGTGTGTAAAAAAGCAATAAAATCATCATTACCAAAATGATGGGGCGCCTCGTTCGTGGGTGCATCACGTGCTCCACTCCTCTTGAGTCTCGCCAAATCCGAGCGCTTGCAGCACAGGCAGAGCTCAGAGCTCAGGATCTGAGGGATGGGCGGAGCCAGGGGGCCAGGGGCACGCCCTCGGCAACACCCACCGGGTGCAGCTGGGGGGCGAACCCAACAGGGCCCTGAGTGAGGCTGAGCCCTGGGGCCCAGGGGGCCCCTGAGTTAATAAAAATAGGAAAGTGAGAAACAAAAAGGAAAAGAAAACTGGAGACGGCATGGCACCCGAGGACTCGCCGCCGCGTATTCTCTCAGGGTGGCTGTCTCTGCGGGCCAGGCAGTTGTACCCTGAGCACCGGGGGAGGGGGCACAGGAGACCACAGGGGAATGGTGAGCTGCTTGGCTTTGCAGGTCGGCCTGCCTAGGCAGGTGGCAGGGCATTTGGTGAAACACCTGCCCAGATGTTGCAGTGAGGGTATTTTATTTTAAAGATTTATTTTATTTATTTGAAAGGCAGTTGGAGAGAGAGAGAGAGAGATTTTTCATCTGCTGGATCACTCCCCAGATGGCTACAACTGGGGCTGGGTCAGGTCAAAGCCAGCAACTCCATCTGGGTCTCCCACATGGGTACAGGGGCCCAAGCACTTGGGTCATCTTCTGCTGTTTCCCCAGGTGCATTAACAGGGAGCTAGATTGGAAGTGGAGCAGCCTGGACTTGAACCAGCCCCCATATGGGATGCTGGCCTTGCAGTCTGTGGTTTAACCAGCTGTGCCACAGTGCTGGCCCCGGAAAGTATTTTTAAAAATAAGGTTAAGGCACCAGCACTGAGGCCTAGCATGTTAAGCCACTGCCTGCAACCCCAATGTCCCATATGGAGACTGGTTCATGTCCTGGCTGCTCTACTCTTATTCCAGCTTCCTGCTAAAGCGCCTGGGAGAACAGCAGAAGATGGCCCAAGTGTTTGGGCCCCTGTACCCACTTGGGAGACCCGAATGAAGCTCCTGACTCCTGGGGTTGGCCTGGCCAAGTCACAGGCATTGTAGCCATTTGGGAAGTGAACCAGCAGATGGAGGATCTCTCTCTCTCTCTCTCTCTCTTTCTCTCTCTCTCTTTCTTTCTCCCCCTTTAAGTCTGCCTTTCAATTAAATAAATAAACAAATCTGAAAGCACGTGTTCCCAGGATCTATTATTCTATTGTTCCAAGCCAACACTAGCTATAGAGGAGCCTTTCAAGGCAGTGAAATACAGCCCTCTCATTCTGCACACAGGGAAATGGAGTCTCTGAGCATTTCCTTTTTTTTTTTTTTAAAGATGTATTTATTTGTTTGAAAGGCAGAGTTACAGAGAGGGAGAGGCAGAGAGAGAAAGAGAGAAAGAGAGAAAGAGAGAGAGAGAGTCAGAGTCTTCCATCTACTGGTTCACTCCCCAGGTGGTCTAGCTGTGCCGATCCAAAGCCAGGAGCCAGGAGCTTCCTCTGGGTCTCCCATGGGGTGCAGGGCCCAAGCACTTGGGCCATCCTCCACTGCTCTCCCAGGCCACAGCAGAGAGCTGGATTGGAAGTGGAGCAGCTGGGACTTGAACTGGCGCCCATATGGGATGCCTGCACTGTAGGTGGCGGCTTTACCTGCTATGTCACAGCACCGGCCCCAAGCATTTGCTGTGTCAAAGCGACAAAGGTGACGGGCCTCTTTCTCCACAGAGTTGCCAGCCACTGTTCATACACAGCTTGTCCTGGTGCACTGTTCCTGTGACTGTGGTAAAATACGATGGGGGCGGAGGAGGTCCTCCTAGCAACCAGAGACTGGATGGTGAGGAGAGGGGCGGTGGGCTGAGGGGTCACTGCTGTCCCGCCAGGGAAGGCCCAGCCCCGCTTATTATGCATTCTTCTGAGTACGGAGACCCGCCGATGGTGTGGCTCCTTCCAGAGGTGGAACTCAGCCTCCAGACGGCCACAGACCAGCAGCTGAGAGGTGGCCGGGCCGAAGGAAACCCAGAGCTCTTCAAGGAAAGGCAAAAGACAGAAACATCAAACCAGCCCGCCTAACCCAGCACGGCCAGCCCAGCACTTTCCTCCTGAGACTGGGAAGCGCAGCAGGACTGGGCCAGAATCTTGGGGTAGGGAGGCAGGCACCGCACCCACGCACCCCGCAAGTGAGGTTCAAGACAGGGCAACTCACTTCCCCCAGGAGGAGGAAGCAGAGAGGAGTGGTAGATTCAGCCGCAGACATAGGCAGAGGTGGGTGCCCCGTCTCTCCCCTGCCAGCCTCTCTCACTGTCAGGGGCTCACTCCCTTGCTTTTCCAGTCCCAGAGTTCTTTCTGTCAATGCAGAGGATCCCACGGGAGGCGGCAGGTGGGCTGGGCTCAGATCCAGCTCAGGCAACCAAGGCAGGGGCAGAGCCCGTTAGGAGCACATGGCGTGGTGGTGGTGGTGGTCATGGTGGTGGTGGGGGGCAGGAGGAAACCGCAAAGCAGAAAGCTAGGAAGACAAAGGCTGTTGTGCTCCCTTGACAGAGGAAGAACCCGAGACGTGGAGAAGCCGAGAAAGCAATGAACAGCTGAGGCGGGAGAGGACCTGCCCTGGTTTGGACAAGAGCTCATGTGGATTGAAGCCACGAAGCCCTGGGTGAGTGGTGCTAACAGGGTGGACGCTTGATGCAGGTGCAGTGGGAAGACCTGGGGTGGCTACGGCCATGACCTTGGGAGGCAGACTCTGTGGGAGGGTTGGTTATAGAAAAGCCGAGCTGGACCCCACCACCCTCTCGGCTGCACAAGCATGCCCTCACCAGGGGTCAGGGAACCAACCTTGGACAGAGACGCTCCACAACTCTGAGCTGCGAGAAGCCGCCTCCCTTCCGAAGTCGCCCGTCTCCAGGGTTTCGCTGCAGCCATGAGAAGACAACTCTCACTGCCTCACCTCGCATCCTGTGTCTTCTCCAGGGCACCCTCCAAGACCACTCCAAGAAAATCCCATTCCCTGCCTTCCCCTCCCCGCTCCCAGGCTGCGCAGGTGGCGGGCGGCTCCTCCCGCTCAGGAGAACCCAGTAACCATGATTTGGGAGTCCCCATCCGGAGTCAGCAGCTGGGGCACTCCGACGACAGCCTGTGTGCACGTGTGGTTGCCTCTCTCTGCTTCTGCCATTTGAGCGGAGGAGCCCCTGAGCTGGTGTCACCGTGAGGTCCAGTTGACTCGAGTGAAGTGCCCATTCATTACAAAGCTATGCAGAATGCAAGAGGAAATTCAGGGAGCCTCAGAGATGGCCACAGAGGGACCGGAGACAGGCAGACGAGAACCAAAAGGAGCCAACTCAACAGGGGACCCCCAGGGCTGCCGGGTCAGGTAGGACGGCTGGCTCCTGGGGCCTGGGGGGGGGGTCTTGGAGTGGCTGCCCTGAGGGACCCCAGGGCTGCCATGGAGCAGTGACTGCTGGGATGCGGCCCCATTTTCCTGCCATTGTTGTGCCCTGGTCATCCTGCTGGACACTGAATTTCAGCGGGAAGCAGACAGCTGGCTTCCGGTGTGGGGTCTCCTGGTTAACGCGCCCCATCTGCACGTGAGGCTGGGGTTAGCACAGCTGAGACCCCACCATCCCACCCGAGAGCTGGTGCCTGAGCGTGAGGCTGTGCTGGGAGCCATCTGGGGCTGCGTCTGGGGAGTGCCTGGAGACTCGGTGAACGACAGACTCAGCGCCCGTGACCGTGACGGCTGCTCCCCCGAGAGGGCTGGGCCCCTTGCACTAGTGCTTCCCAGGGGTGATGGGACTAATCCTGGCCAGCGTCTCTGCGAGGCCTTTCAGTCCCTGCCACCGTGGCTGGCGACATTCAAGGTGGCAGTGGCTCCGTCCACCTGGGCTCTGGAGCGAGGACGCAGGGAGCAGCACCCCCAAGACGATCCTTAGTGGCCGTGGAGCTCGCCCTCCAGGCTGAGCCTTGGCTGTTCTAAGCCGCTTTGCTTCGGGGACGGTTTGGGACTCTGACATCCCCTGGTGTATCCTGACCGATCCTCAGCGCTCACATCTCGTGCCGTTTCTGGATGCTTTTGGAAAGACCATAAAGGGGCTGCTGCAGGCTGGGGTGACCCAGGCACTGGTGACAATCTCTGAGTCTCCCCTGCCAGCCTCGGTGCCATCTCAGGCTGTGGAACCAGAGTGCCGAACAGCAGAGGGCACCAGACTCCTGTCTCTGGTTTTGCCATCTGCATGGCATGGTGTGGGCATGGGTGGGGCATGGTGATAGCGCTGTCGGGGATGGCCCCAGGGCTAAGCAGGGAGGGAGCTCAGGGCCTGCTCCTCCCAGGTGCCACCGCCGCTGTGGGCAGGTGTCTGAGAGATGCCACCTCGCCCCCCAGTCAGCTTCAGAGAACACCTGAGCAGGGGCCACAAGGGCTCCACCGTGGCATCTACAGAGCCGGCCTTACAAGAGTGCATATGCCGTCTGTCTCGTCTCAGCTCTGCTTGCAATGTCAGGTGTCAGACTTGGGTGAGGCTGAGATGGGTAGGCAGGAACCTCGACAGGGCGCTGTGTGCAAACAGCCAGCCAGACCTGGCCTCGGAGCAGTGGGGTTCAGGCTGGCCCCCAGGCTTCTTCTCCATGCATCACAGTCCATCCTAGCCTTCGCCGACTTTGCAACCTGCCTTCATCGGCTTTCAAATGCGGCCCAGGGGAAGAGGGGAAGTCGGACAGGGCAGGGCTCAAGCAGCTGCTGTCATCAACTGGATCCGTAGGATCAACTAGAAGGCTTCCAGGATAGACCCTGCTGGAGGGAAGGGTTCCAGGATTGACCCTGCTGGAGGGAAGGGTTCCAGGATAGACCCTGCAGGGGGAGGAAGGGTTCCAGGATAGACCCTGCAGGGGGAGGAAGGGTTCCAGGATAGACCCTGCAGGAGGAGAGAAGGGTTCCAGGATAGACCCTGCAAGGAGAGGGAAGGGTTCCAGGATAGACCCTGCAGGAGAAGGGAAGGGTTCCAGGATAGACCCTTCAGGGGGAGGAAGGGTTCCAGGATAGACCCTGCAGGGGGAGGAAGGGTTCCAGGATAGACCCTGCAGGGGGAGGAAGGGTTCCAGGATTGACCCTGCAACGGGAGGAAGGGTTCCAGGATAGACCCTGCAAGGGGAGGGAAGTGTTCCAGGATAGACCCTGCAAGGAGAGGGAAGTGTTCCAGGATAGACCCTGCAGGGGGAGGAAGTGTTCCAGGATAGACCCTGAAGGAGGAGGAGGGGTTCCAGGATAGACCCTGCAGGGGGAGGAAGGAAGTGTTCCAGGATAGACCCTGCTGGAGGAGGGAAGGGTTCCAGGATAGACCCTGCAAGGGAGGAAGGGTTCCAGGATAGACCCTGCAGGGGGAGGGAAGGAGTTGAGAACTGCTCTGGTACAAAGAGTGTCAGGAACATGGAGGCCATGTGAGAGGCGCCAATCCCTCTCCATCCTTGGGCCTCCATTCCCTCCTCTCACAAGGGGTGGGTTTGAGCCTTCGAGCTCTGAGCTCTTCCACTTTTGGTAACCGAAGACCCAGGTTTTGCTGGCCTGGCGCTAGGTCGTGGATGAGGAAGAGGAGGGTGGAGGCTAGCAGGAGGGATGAGGGGCAGGGTAAGGGTGAGGTGGGGTCTGAATGGCCGGCTGGGCGGTGACATTTGCCGGGACAGGTTGCATGGGCTGCGCTCACCTGCTTTTCATGAGCTGTGGCGTGGGTGTCAGTGTTTACCTTTCTCCAGATCAGACAAAGACCAAGGTCAGGTTAAGTCCATTACCCTAACGCTAGCTGGCGCGAAGTCCAACAGAAGACACTGGTAATGGCGCCCCTGTCTCCTGCCCACTCTGCCTTCCCTCGATTCGTCCTGCCCTTGTCCCTTTCCCTCACTGCACTCTGACAAAGCGCCACTCGCCCTTTGCTGGAAGAGCCCGGCCGTCTGGGCGGGGCTTGGCTGGAGAAGCACAGGTCTCCTTCAGACCTCACTCTTTGATTGACTGCAGCCCGGGAGTTCTGGGGAAAGAGCTGCGGGAGGGGGGGTCTCCACGGCTCCCGCAGGTGCCTGCTCCTCTGAGCTCTGGACGGGCTTGGGGGCCCTGAGAGACTCGCTCTCCCCACGGGTCTGGGTTTTCCCGGCTGTCGTGTGCAGCCCCTGGTGAGGTTTCTTTCTCCCATTAGGTCCCCCAACCTGTCCTGTCCATCCGTCCAGCTGCTCCTTGAGGCCCCCGGGGGTTTAAGTTGGCCAAAGACAAAACACAGAGAGACCATGGTGCAGGCTCCTGTCTTTGCAGAGCTCAGAGCTTGGTGGGGTACGAGATTTGTGAACAAGGACATCCAGTTTGGGATGGGGAGTGCCGTGACCCTCGCCTGCACTTGCGCTCCTGGGAGAGACCTGCAGCGGAGGTGGGGTGGGGACTGGCCATGCCTGTGGTGGGAGGGCTGGGAGAGATGGTGGGGGCGGGAGGGGTGCAGGGGTGGGAGAGAACTTTCTGGGCAAGGCTCTGTCAGTCTCAGGGGACTCGGCGGGAGTGGGCGGGGCAGAGAACAGGTCCCTTCCGGGACTGCAAATGTGTGGAGCAGCTGGAGCAAGTTCTTCTCTTAAGATTTATTTATTTTATTTGAAAGAGTGACAGAGGAGAGACAGAGAAAGGAGAGAGGGAGAGAGGCAGAGAGGGAGAGAGAGAGCGAGAGCGAGAGAGCGAGAGAGAGAGAGGTTTTCCATTTGTTGGTTCACTTCCCAAATGGGCACAACAGCCAGGACTGGGCCAGGCTGATGCCAGAAGCCAGGATTCCATCTGGGTCTCCCAGGTGGGTGCAGGAGCCCAAGTCCTTGGGCCACCATCTGCTGCCTTCCCAGACACATTAGCAGGGAGCTGGATTAGAAGAGGAGCTGCTAGGACTTGAATCAGTGCCCGTATGGGATGCAGGCATCGCAAAGGATAGCTTAACTCACTGTGTCACAATGCCAGCCCCTGGAGCAAATTCTAGTGAGTGGAGATGAGGCTGAGTGGAAGGTGGGACCTCAGTCAGGGAGGCCTTGGGCTCCAGGCACCCTTGGGCCTGCAGGTGACACGGAGCCTGGTGAAGAGGTTATTGCACTGGTCCAGCAAAGGGCGATCAGTGAAGCAGGCCATGGTGAAGAAGTGGAGGAGCGGCTCTGAGAGACCCTGGTGACATGGGCACAACCAGATCACCAGTTACCCATGCTGAGGAGGAGGAGGGGGCTGGGGAAGCTGACTGCCAGGCTCCTGGCTCATCAGAATTGGGGGAAGGAGGGCAGAGAGCACAGCTTGCGTGCGGGGTGCAAGGGCAAATTTAGCTGTGGATAGCCTGCGTCTTGGGTGCCCTGAATGGCCAACACGCAATTGACTTGTAGACTTTTGCAAGACACCTGTCCAGCAGAACGTACCCGGACGTCATCAGCATTGAGATGCTGCCCCCTTGAGCCCCTCTGGTGCAGACGACACAGCTAGAGAGCAGGGGGAGAGAGTGAGACAAGGAGGAGGCCTGTGGGTGGACTCTGGGGAGTCCCCGCCTCTATGGAGTAGGCAGGGAGGGCAGGGGAAGGGCGGGAGCCATGGCGTGGACGAGCCCAGGGAGACAGATTAGGGCTGTGGAGGACGAGGACGGAGCAGCTGACATTGCAAGGGCTGCCCAGAGTGCAGTCTGATCAGACGTGGTGCTTGGGGCTCAAGGGGGTGGGGGATGAGGCTTGGCTGGGGAAGGATCCTGGATGCGGCCCGGCATATCTCTCTCTGGGGGGCCGGGCCCCAAATGCCCAGAAAGCCTGCTGCCAGGGCTGTGGGTGGCAGTGAGGAGGGGGGGTCACGGGGTATAAGAAAAGGAAGCTTTGAAAGCCAGTAGAGAGAACCTGGAGGTGACTTAAAGCTTCCAGCTACATTTTTTTTTAAAGATTTATTTATTTATTTGAAAGTCAGAGTTACATACAGAGAGAAGGAGAGGCAGAGAGAGAGAGAGAGAGGTCTTCCATCCGCTGGTTCACTCCCCAAATGGCCACAATGGCTGGAGCTGTGCCAGTCTGAAGCCAGGAACTGGGAGCTTCTTCTGGGTCTCCCATGTGGGTGCAGGGGCCCAAGCACTTGGGCCATCTTCTGCTTTCCCAGGCCATAGCAGAGAGCTGGATTGGAAGTGGAGCAGCTGGGACTCGAGCCGGCACCCATATGGGATGCTGGCACTGCAGGTGGCGGCTTTACCCGCTACGCCACTGTGCCGGCCCCTCCAGCTACATTTTGTTTTACCACAGGGGAGGAGCTGTATGCTGTACCAGCATCAGTGAGTTTAGGGTTCCCTGGGTCCTCGGGACACAGTCTTTGAAAACGCTACAGGGAGCCGAATGCAATGCAGAAAGCCA